TATTTAGTGTCATACTTAAATTCTTATTAGAAAACATAACGAAGCACTGCCGAAGTCAGAATATCACACAGTTATCTGTGCTTGTAAGAAAAGAATACGTCCATTAGCAAGAGTTATCTTTCTTATAAATATTTTTTCAATGGAAAAAATGTAATACTAATAAATATTATACATATTGTACTTGATACATGATAGCATTTTTAAAAATGGCCCATTAAAAGATAAACTAATTCAATCTGTACGGATTTGAAAATTGGATTTAAACAATTTTTTGTCATATATAATAAAACAGGCAAAAGGAAATATAAGTCAGGTTTGATAAAATTGATTAATGGGGTCTCAGTAATTAATATCTGGTGAAGTATCGCCAGTGGTAAGAGCGTTCGCTCTAGAGTCGCGGAGTAAGGAGTTGATCCTTACGTCGCGGGTTCGAATCCCACTGTGGGACGTGGAGACCGGTCCTTCGGATGATACCGTATAAACCGAGGTCCCGTGTCGCAGTATAGGTGCTGGCACGAAAAAGATCCATCACTGCTCAATGGCCCTAAGTGGCGAGTATAGGTCAAAACTTGTAGCCACCGGCAAGTGGTGGCGTCTCCATATGAGTGAAAAATTCTCGAGAGGGACGTTAAACAATAAACAAACAAAAACAAATCTGGTGAAGTAAATATGAGTAGCATCATGATTTTTACTTGGAAATTTCTCTCTGTTATCAGAGGGTCAGTCCCCTTAAAAATAAATTGAAGGAAGTCATGGAAACATGAATTTTTAGTGCCTTATAACCGAAATTCTCTATATCCATAAAAGAAAGTGTTATGATAAGTGGGATGGAAAAAAGATAGAACCGAGATTTCCTTATATCCAAGTTCCATATAAACGAGTTTTTTAAATATCAAAATTAGGTGTTTGAGATCTACAATTTTTTTGCTTTTTTTTAAAGTTTTTATAAGTTTTTATAAACTGCTTAATTTAAAAGTATGTAATTTTTGCTGGTTTTTTGACGTTCTGACTAAAATATATAATTTTCTAATGATGACATTTACTCCTCTTTTTCAATGTCTGACATCTTGAAAAGGTGCAGTGTTACAACGCACTTTGAAAAATTACGCACTTTGAAAAAAATTTTCAAAGTGCGTTAATTTTGGGACCACGTTAACGCACTTTGAAAAAAAATATTTTTTTTTCAAAGTGCGTTAATATCGACCATATTAACGCACTTTGAAAAAAAAATGTGCGCGGCTTGGTCAATATTCTTGCCAATTTTAGGCATGATAAATAATTATTTGAACCCGGTTTAATACTTTTTCAGTGATGATGTCACTTCAGGATCTGAGATATGGCGTTTTAAAGATTTTTAGGGGTTGTTTTCTTCCCAACAGTTCTTGTAAATGTAATAAAAGGGAAATGGGTCTTTTAGAAATGATTGTTTAATAGCAAAAGTTCGTTCCCCTTTTTTTTTTTTTTTTTTTTTATATATATATATAATTTTAATCCAGTCTGTAATAAGTTCGGTGGATGTAGGGGTCAATATATTATTTAAAGCATGGAATTTTTCTTCGGGAAAAGGAGCAATTATGATTTTTCTCTACCATGAAAATTCTCTTTCTTTCTCTCTTTATATATATATATATATATATATATATATATATATATATATAAATATTCTGACACTTTCAGTCAAGAAAAACCACGTTTAAAAAAGACGTACCACACCTATCTGTATTTTAACAACTTTTAAGTGTATTTAAAGAAGATTCAAAATTTTTAAATTTTATTTTACATTTAAAAATCCGGAAGACAAACCCCTATGATTCGATACTATAAATCCCTGAATATTGATACGTACATGTATTGATTAAGCGATATATTGACACACTCCTAGTGCTAGGGCTTTCATAAATTCATATGTGTATTTATTAAGACAGTATCTTTCCATGGGTATTCATTTTTTTGACCTTGACTTTAGAGTTTGACCTACTTCTTAAAAAACTTTAACCTTGGCTATAACTTTTGAACAGTTGGCGCTAGGGCTTTCATATTTCACAGGTGTATTTCTTGTGACAATTTGCAATTTGAAATTCAGTCTTATACTGCCTTGGTTTCAACCCCAAGAATATTATGCTTTTTTATGCCCCCGTAATCGAAGATTCGGGGTTATATAGTTTTTGCTCTGTTGGTCCGTCTGTCTGTTTGTCCGCAAAAACTTAAACCTTGCTCATTACTTTTGAACGGGTGGGGCTATGGCTTTCATATTTCACAGGTGTATTCCTTGTGCCAAAACCTTTCTTTTGGTACCACGAAATTTGAACTCTTGACCTTGGAGTTTGACCCACTTTTACAAAAAGTAAGCACACTTCAACCTTGACCATAACTTTTGAACAGTTGGTACTAGGACTTTCATACTTCACATGTGTACTCACTGTGACAAGGCCTTTCAATGGGTATAAATATTTTTGACCTTGAACTTAGAGTTTGACCCACTTAGTAAAAACTATAACCTTAGCCATAACTTTTGAACAATTAAAAAACTAGGGCTTTCATATTTCACATATGTATTCTTTGTAGCAAGACCTTCCTCTTGATACCACCAATTTTGACCTTTTGACCTTGGAGTTCGACTTGCATTTGCGAAATTTCAACCTTCGCCTTAAGCTGCCATATGGGGGCATCAGTGTTTCACAAACACATCTTGTTTAATCAGTATTTTTCTTTATTTTTATTTATAAAATTTTGCAAACAATTTTCCATATAAAAGGTTTTCATTTATCATATTTTTTTTTTACCATTTTAGGACCAGAAATTTACTTCAAATTTTAAAGTCAGAAACTGAACATGATATGTAGGCCTTTAGCACGCCTTGTAAACCCATCTTCTATAGAAAAAAAACAAACCAAAATTAACTATAAACACTATCTTTATTTTTTCAAATGACTTTAGAATCAATCATTGTATAAATTGAAAATACATGCAAACATAAAAATAGCAATTTTATGACATATGAAATCCATTAAAATCTACAAAAGCAATAAATGTCAAATTCAAAGGATTTTATGTAGCATCGCTTACTTGAGCGAACATGTAGTCTAAGATTAAAGATTTAAAAATATAAAAAGGCATACAAACAATAATTTCTAGCATAAAAAAACAAATCTAATTTTGGGGGGGAAGGAATCATTGCTATTTTGAAAATAAAACCAAAAGTCTCTGACGAGATTGTAGCTCTACTAGTTCAAACGTATAACAAAGGAAAAATAGCACTTGGACTGGAAACTTTGATTTAGTCTCTTTTGTGGAAAGATTTATTGCAATCAGAATAATCTTTAGGAGGAATAAATATTTAAAAGAATTTTATAGAAAGTCTGATTTTATATGAGTAACTCACTGTGGTTTACTTGCATGCCAAGTTACATGAAAATCAGTTCAAGTCATGTAGAAGGAGTGATTATTTGAAAGTATTTTACGTAAATTTTAATTTTTTGTAACCATGGTAACACCGTTCATCGAAATTAAAAAGCATTAAAAAGAATTATGTATCTTAATGTAGTCTACTCGTGTGACAAGCTATATTGAAATCAGACTAAAATTGTAGGAGGTGTAGCATTAAAAAAAAACCCAGACAGACAGCTAGACAGACGGACACCTTACTATCGCATAAAATCTTCTGGTTTCTGACCAGTGGAGCTAAAAAAAAAATTACCGGTTTTTCAACAGGGTATCAAAAATCAATTTACCAGTAACCCGGTACACTTGACAAACACAAAATATATAACTTGAGTTTGACGATGTATATTATATTAAAGCTTTAAGGTATTTCCGTCCTCCTGTGATCAAAGGTTTTGCAAAAACTGTTTTTAATTAAATTCATGGCCAATAGAAAAATATCTGCTTTTCAATAGGTATATTGAAAAATATTGTCAAGTGAAAGAATTTTAAAATATTTCTTTTCTTTATTTAATCAATTATTCGATCTTTAAAAAATGTTGTCAAGGGCAATAACTCCTTCTCATGTATCTTCATTCAGGGATTTTCTCTATTGTATTTCTAATGTAAAAAAAAATATTCCCTGATATTCACAATTCAAATACATGTATATTTATAAATGAGCAAATATGTTTGAATTTTTAACATCAGAATAATTATTTGAACCAGTTTTTACATGATGTTATTTTACAATTTATTAAAAATGTAGGATTTTTCATACTGACATATACTTCTGTTTTTTCTTTTTACATCAGAAAAAAAAACTTTGGAAACCTATACATTTTTTGCAATTTTTGTTAATTAAAACCATATTCCTTAAAAATAAATTGTGAGGGTGGAAATACCTTAAAGGTAGTTCTGATTCGCTGAACATCTAAATTCGAGTGCAGTATCTGTAAAGCCATCAGAGAGGTTTCGCAAACCAACGTGTACTTGAAATCTGTACAATACGTCATCACTTTTGCGAATGCTGAAATTCTACACGTATCCACGTAGATCGCCGAGTATCCGTAAATGCAGACTTGTAGCATATATTTTCTTAACTGCTTTTTATTTTAATCAAAAGGTTGTGTTTTTTTTTTCTAAAACCTATAGTACTGATCTTAGGAACTTTATGTTTTTATAGCAAATAATTATTTAGCTTCTTATTATAAGCTTCGTAAGATATTGCGCGGAAAAGAAAGTGTTAAGACCGAGAACATTTATGAATTTATGACCTTCACCTTTGACCACAAAATCGATAAGCATCTTTCTTAGGCCACAGGGAGTTGCTGTGAAATTTCATTGCAAAAGCTCAAAGGCTTCTCGAGATATCGCATGGAAACAAAAGTGTTACAGACAGACAGAAATACAGACGGACGGACGGACAGATAGACCGAAATTAATATCCCCCTCTCAGTGAAAGCGGGGGACAATTAAGTACGACTCCACGTAAAAATCATGCAGTGAGCATAGAAAGGGTGATTCATGAGGTATTAAATATATTATTTATGTGTGACTAAAATTAAAATATTGATAACTAGTAATCAATTTTTTAAAAAAAAATCAAATATGAAAGCATATTTAAAATGTTATGATTTTTCAAATTTTAGTTGTGATTCAATAGTATTCTATTGAAAACATCACTTTTTGAATTGTCTAGAACTACTAAACCCCTTTCCAACTCCATTAAAAAATAATACTACAATTAATATAAGTAAGTGTTCTAAAATGTTATCGAGAGAAAAAATTGTGCAAAACAGTTCTAAATAGATTAATGGTCATTTAAAATTTGTAATTTCCCTCCCAAATACGCAATGGATTACCTCCCCTACGTATAGGTGGCGCTGTTTTTTATTTATAACAAGATGTCTGCTCCCATGGTTGAATTGACGCCTTGTTCCCTTCGGTTTTATTTTGAAGGAAATTGTGGACTTTGTCCAAAATTTCCCGAGGAAAATTCACTGAAGTATGTTAAAGAATGTAATAAGAGCATTGCTGGACATTTGAGGGCCTGCAGAGTTGCAGAGAAATCGGTAAATTCCAGTGGTTGATCAGTGGGTACCGGGCGGTATCACTGCCGGTAAAGTGCGAATCGAGAAAATCTTGGTTTCGTACACCCGCTACTATTGGCACCTGTAAATTGTCTAGTTCAATTTATATTTTTTGAAATAACACAATAAAAATCACTTTTCAGAAAGCAAATTTATTAGATAGTTAAGCGATTGGATGCTTTCATACCCGAAAGTGCCCATATGTAAATGGCTGTTTACATTGTGTTTTCCATGTACTCTCATTCGAATGATACATATAGGACTACAAGACTAATTAGACAGCTAAGTGGATAAATTTAACTTTAATCAAACGTTATTCAAAGTATATAACGATACTAAATTTTCTAAAAACTGGATAATACAAAGATACATTTTTCCATTTTTTAATTTCCATGTAAAACAGAATTTTGTTTTAAGATGAAATAACTATTACTATAAACAAAAACGCAAAGTAAATAATGGGCGAAGTATCAAAGTTTGAGCATGTCAGTACTAGGAGCTTAGGTATTAGGACTAGCACTCCATGATCCCTTTGTCACTACAACATAGCATTATACAGGTCTGGTACAATCACTAGATTTAGCTACGTAGCTTGAATTACCTACATAGCTTTATTTACCTACCTGAAGTAGCTTTATTTAGCTACTAAATCAAACTTATTTCTTAAATAAGAATTTTTCCCAGAAAGTGCAGAAAATTGCACTTTGATGCAGTGATAATTTTCAACTTTGAACTCATCTGAAAACAATTCATGAAAAAACACTCTTGGAGATGTGTCTTTTTTTGTACAATTGCAATCATAGTTCTAAAAGTTTTGGGGCTATATACAACAGTTAATTTGTGACCTAGCAGTTACTTCTTGAGTGTAATAACAAAGAAAACCAGTTTTGGTTAACATGAGCACAATGTGAAGTAATCACACTTATCCAGCCTCATCGCACACAAGGAGTGTACAGTTACTCAAACAATGGGAATACATATTTTCCTTAAAAGTGATCAAACGCAGCAATGTTAAAACTATCTCTGCTTTAGATTGCTTTTTAAATGATACCTAGAATAAATATTAGTAGACATTTTCTTGCGACTTTTTGTCTTTTTAAAATAAAAAGCAAAATTGTGAAAAGTTGCCTTGAAATAGCTAAATAAAGCTACCTGAGGTAGGTAAATAAAGCTACGGTAGGTAATTTTAGCTACGTAGCTAAATGTACTGATTGTACTGGACCTGTTATAAGGGCCGTTACCAGGCTTTAGTACATAATATGCTTTGGGCTTTACAGGATTGATCACATAATCAACCCTTATTTTTTTATATAAAAGTTTAAAAATGATCCTTTATTTCTTAATTAACAAGTAGGTAAAGGACAATGTTAATTTGTTATTCAGGCTGCAAAACTTTATGTGAAATTAAGATTCCTGATCACCTCATGTGCACATATTGAATGACACCAAAAGTATGTGTAGAATGGCATGTTGTTTTACACATCATTATTTACACATTTATAGAGCCAATTAGCCTTTACACAATAACTGCATTACTTCTCTTTTGCAGGGCTAATTTTTGTTGATAGATGATTAAATGAAGTATATTGAATAATTGTTTTTATGTCATATTTCACCAAAATTTACTATTTTGTCCTGCAAAGGAGTAGTACAGCAGTTATCATGAAAGGGCTAATTAAAGTATATAACAATCAGAGATATTGTCATTTAAATTTAAGCACTCCCTGATTGGTTGAAAGATATCAATAAACTCCATTTTCGTAGGAGAAAAAAATATGACTTCTGACAGATTCATAGACCAAAGGTTTGTGAGGAAGTAGTGAAGATACAAAGTCATACTTATTCTTCATTAAGCATATTTTTCATGATGAACAGAGTATCCCACTTTGACCATGTTGATGCAGTGATAATTTTCAACTTGAATGGATGTGAAAACAATTCATGAAAAAATCACTTAAATATGTGTCACCTTCAATGTGATTGCCATTAAAGTTCTTAATGTTTTGATGATTCTTTTAAATCAAAGATAATGATTAATTACCTGAGCTAGTAAGGAGTAATACAGGTATATATCCCAATAAACATAATTAGAAGTAAAAATACCAGTAATTCCTGGGAATTACCTATATTTCCCACCATCATGGGAAATGTAAGTATTTCCCTTATTTTTTTTACAACTCAGGTAAGATCAGAAGGGGAACTACTGTGTCTTAGAGCTGGGATATGGAGGTGGAAAGAGAAAACTGACCTTGGCATAACTGTGTGTCCAGCTCACAGATACATGTATGGACTTGGTTGGAAGCCGCGACTGAAATGCGACTTTTTTAGGCATCCCAGTTCCTCAAAAAGTAAAGCACAAAGAGGGATGTCAGCAAGGATGTGTGAACTTGCACAACTCAGATGGGGTGTGCTGTGCAGAATTGGAACAGGTTTGTAAATTTTGCTTTGAATTATATTATTGGTTGAATCAGATCTTCTTTTTTTCACCAGGTTTGGCATGAAGATTTTCTTTTAATTGGCATTGAATTGTTGTGGCTACTGGTTGAAGTACTTAATTTGACTTGGCAACAAAATCAAGCATTTTTTGTACTACAATCCTTTGCTACTTGTTTAATCATCATGTCATCATCCTCTTATTCCAACCATCAAATTCACCAAGCAGGAACATCTCATCACCATTTAACCATCTGCTGATTCCAGATATCATGTATTCCAGAATTGTTTGAAGATTGAGAGTTTTTGTATCTTTTTGCATGTAAAAATTTGAACAAGTATGTATGTAAATTTGTCTTTTTAACTTGTTGCTGAATAGCTCCATTAAGATTTGTCATCTTACTGCTCTCTAAAATAAAATTTTTCTCTGACACTAAAGAATACATGTACTAGTACTGTATTAAAAATGCAAACAATTTTAGCATATTTTGTGGAGACAGAATTTGGCAGCTATTTCCTTTTAACTTGTCAATCTTATCAAGAAATATTATATTTTTATCTCAAAGAGATTTTTTTTTTCTTTTGTCACAGAATTTTTCAACCTTAAATCTCAATACCAGAGAAATTACAAAAGTTCAATGCATAAAAATCCAAGCTAATATTTTCCAATATTTATCAATTTATAGAGCTCTTCATACTGCTCCCTCTTTATAAGTGAAAAAGAAAGGTTCAAACTATATTTGAGAAAATGTCTCAGGTTCTATTTTTCCACTCTCTAAAATACATTTTGATTTAAATGACTATTTTTAGACTTGTTGTAAACTGTTTCATGCAGCCATGCCTTTTATAAATAATTAACTGAATTCAAAATTATTTAATATTTTCTGCCATACTCTTTGGAAATTAGCCATTCTAGCCATATATGTGGGGCCTTTTCAAATGCTCTGGAGAAGTCCTCCTCCTCATATTAAGGACCCTAAAATAAATAGTACATGTAATATGCCAGTATTGTGTATGGTATTGTTGTGTATGCAAGAAAAAAGTCCATGTTTTATTTGATGAAGTTATACTTTAGGAATTTGTCGACAATGCCTTGACAGTTTGTCAGAGGACAGAGATGATTCAGAGTCACCAAACAGCTTTGGTGTAACAGAAGAGGTAGGGTTATTCTATGAACCTAAAGGAAAAGTTGTGAATTAAATTTTATAATTAATTAAAACTCAATTAGCTTATTCTAGCTTATACTTCACCTATGTATTTCCTATGATTTAGAGGATGTGCGCAACTTTGAATAAGTTTACTAGGTCAAAGATCAAGGTTAAAAATACTTCTTTGTAGAATTATTGTCCATCTTCGCTGGCCAAAGGTTTACGAACCTCTCCACTCCTCTACAACTTAGACTTGTAGAGGAGTGGAGCGGATTGTAAACCCTTGGCTAGCGAAGATGATAACTGTCCTGAACATTTTTAGCTCTTCTGAGCCAAAGGCTCAAAGAGTTCATGCTATGGCCATTTGTGAGGTGTGCGGTGTGTGTAAACTTTTTAGAATATGGGCCATAACTCAAGAGCCCCTTGTCCAATTATTGTCAAATTTGTCACAGGTTATCCTTGGCCCAGGGGCTCCCGTTTATACTAAAACTAGGGTTGTGACAAAAACAAGGGGAGATAATTAGGTAAATAAAACCAAAAGTACTGGTTGCTAAAAAAATCTTCTCAAGAACCACTGGGTAGATTATCACCAAACTTACATACAGGGATGAGGATATGTTGTAGATTAAAAATTAAATTGTTCAAGGCATCACCCTGGGGCAAAGGGCGTGGTCTCAAGGTCACTTCAAAGTTGACCAAAAATTACATTTTATTAAAATGTTGATATTTTGCTTACTATAAGGACTAGGATCATCAAATCTTGTCAGTTGATGCTTCTAAGGACCTCATATCATGTTGACTTAAAAGCAGGTCATGCTGACCTACTTTTTAAATATTGCGGCCATTCTTTTTCAAATTGATTGAGGCATATTTTGAACAATTTAAGGCCTATGATCATCAAACTTTGTCAGTTGATGCATCTTGGGTCCTTGGAGTACTTCAACTAAAAATAGGTCACGTTGACCTACTTTTTGAATTTTATGGCTAATCTTTTTCAAAACAATTAAGGTCATTAATTCGATTACTGAGAGGTTTAGAATCATTAAATCTTGTAAGATGATGCATCTTGGGGCCATAAAACATATTTATTAAAAAGTAGGTCACCTTGACCTACTTTTTGAACTTTGCAGGCATTGCCAATTGATTTCAAGGCATTGTAGAGGCATATTTTGGACATTGAAGGCCTGATCATAAAACTTTGTAAGTTTATGCATCTTGGGACCTCGAAAAACATCAACTGAAAAGTAGGTCACCGTGACCTACTTTTGAAATTTTATGGCTATATTTAAATATTTGGGGTACTGTTTGGCTTAGAATCATCAAACTTTGTCAGTTGATGTATCTTGGGTCCTAAGAGTATGTCGACTGAAAAGTAGGTCATGGTGACCTACTTTTCAATTTATATGACTATAATTAAATATTTCGGGTACTAAATGGCTTAGAATCATCAAACTTTGTCAGTTGATGCATCTTGGGTCTTCGGAGTAAGTCAAATGAAAAGTAGGTCACCGCGTCCTACTTTTGAAAATTTATGGCTTTTATTAAATATTTCATTTACCAATAGTCTTAGAATCATCAAACTTTGTCAAATGATGCATCTTGGGTCCTCAGAGTATGACAACTGAAAACTAGGTCACCTTGACCTACTTTTGAAGTTTTATGGCTTTATATAAATATTTCAGGTACTATTTGGCTTAGAATGATCTAACTTAGTTAGTTTGTTGTATCTTGGATCCTCAGAGAATGACAAGTGATAAGTAGGTCATGACCTACTCTCAGATACTAATTGTCTTAGAATCATCTTGGGTTCTCAGAGTTTTTTTTTTAAATCTAAAATGTAGGTCATTATGACCAACCTTTGGAATTTCAAGGCTTTATCTAAATATACAGGATACTTAGAGGCTTCAAATAGAAGTGATAGGTTGTACAGTTTATCAGAAGAGCGATTCAAGGCCCTTGGGCCTCTTGTTGCTTTCCCATATTGGCCCAGTCTTGTTCAAACTTCTTCCATAAAGAAGTGGAATTTATGTTTTTAAGTAATTTTTTAAAGAATTCTGATTGCCTGTCTGTCTTTCTCAAAAATAAATTTGATCATTACTTTAATTTGAATGAGAGAAGATAAACTCTCATATTTAACACATGCTTAACATGTGACAAGAACTTTCCAATTGTTTTATAATTTTTGACCTTATGATCTTGACTTTGAAATTTTTTTCATTTTTCATGTCACGACATGAACAGCTGTACAGAAAAGTTACCAATATCAATCAATTTGTCAACATAGCCAGTCATTTTATCACATGCAATCTACAAATTACAGTACAATGCTAGTAAATTTAACTATTTTCAGGATTTATGTTATAAAATCAATGACATTTCTTTAACATTTTGTAGACAAAAATAGAGGAGGACAAGCCACAGGATAATAATGACCACTACCAGCTACGTCCTAAACAGGTTATTACTATTAAGGACACATAACACAAACAAAAGTTTGATGCATGGATTGATATATATTTTTTGACTGATTTTGAATGAAAATGACATAGATAATAAATCCCTAAAATATTAAGTAATTGTAAGTTTTATTTGGTGCTTAAATATGCGACTGTTTCATTTTATATGTAATTCTATACATTTGCACCCATTTTTAACATTGTGACAAAATCTTTCTAACTTCTCCCACTTTATCTGGCAAACATTATTCAGACTACCTATTTAAAAAAATATCTATGAGAAAAACTGCTGAATTCTGAAAAAAGTTTTTTTGTGTTATTATTCCTTAATAAAGTCATCATTCAGTTTAATTTTCACATACCTGAGTGTATTGGCAAATATTGCACTTGTTGGTTATTTTATAGAAGTCATTCCGACAATCCATACTTTGGTTTCTGAGTAATAACTTTACTTAGAAGACTGCAAAATCCATTTGTATGTGCATAAATGTAGCTTGCTAGCCTAGAAAATTGTTGCATTATGGTTCTTACTTGTCCATTTTCACAAAAGATCAAGAGCATAATTATCTGTCCGTCTGACTGTCTGTCACAAAAATGAATTTGCATATTTGTAATTATAGTGTAAATTTTGCAATACTGATTATTAATATATGCCTGTGTTTTAAAAAAATATATATAGCAGCTAGACCAAGAACACAACTTGAAAAAAATGAAGTTCAGCTTTTGTTTGCTTATATTCATTAGCATATTGAAAAGAAAATCACAGAGACAGAGCTTGCTGATCCTGCCATAGACAAAGAAAATCATGAAGATGTACATATATCTGTAAGTTTCTTCCTCATTTAATGGAAGCTACTATTTTTGTTTGCTTTGTAACAGGAAAGGAGAAAAATATGAAAAACCAGACTGGGATTCTAAACCAGGCCTCCTGAATCTCCAAACTGAGTTAATCAGCCACAGCTGGTCAAATCTGGCCCTTGGATCATGAAGCAACATATAAGCTGAAGTCAAAAAATGTCTATTCAAAAATTTCGGGGCATATAGTATTTGCTCTGTTCATCTGTCTGTGTGTTAACGAGAACTTTAACCTTGCCTATTACTTCTGATTGGTTTGAGCAAGAGCTTAATATTTTACTTGTGCATTATTTGTGACAAGACCATTTTCTGGGTACCAACACTTTTGACCCCTTACCTTGAACTTTAAGCTTGACCTACTTTTGAAAAGCTTTAACCTTGGCCATATCTTTTGAACAGTTGGTGCTAGGGTTATCATATTTCAAATGTGTTTTTCTTGTGACAAGACCTTTCTTTGAGAACCAAAAATTTTCACCTTCTGACCTTGAAATTTTACCTACTTCTTAAAATTTTAATTTTGGCCATGAGATTTTACTTGTTTATTTCTTGTGATAAGACCCTCTCTTAGATTTGAATATAACAGTTTATGAAAATGCTAAAACTGTTCCAACCTATGTTATACCTGTTTAACTTAGTAGAAATTACATTTATTCTTTATAATTTATTTTAATTTTCCATCATTAAGTGTAGAAAATGTCAATTTCTCTTTCAAGAGTGTCCTTGAATTGGACGTATCTTAAAAGTAGCATCAAGTGGATTGACACATTTTTGATGTGCATCATTGTGACATAAGTAACACAGGTAATACAATATAAATTAATTTGTATCCAATGAAATGACACATTACAGTCAAAATTAAATTATTACAGGATACACATGAGTTTGAAGACCCAATTAGTATTCCTAGCACAAACTGTTCCCAGACATCTAATACATCTAACTGGAGTGAGGAGTGTCAAGAACTTTCATTAGAAAAAGCAAACTCTGTCATGGCATCAGTGAAATTGAGTCCACTTAGAGCTGTTCTACAAACAGATATTTCAGAGGCTAAAGCTTCCACAGTCAGATACTATAAAAGGAAAGCAGTGGAATCGGTTGATTCATTGTTGAATTTTATAGCTCCATCTCAAGGACAAGTTTTGAAGGAAGAAATTTTCAAGGCCAGCAATATTGAATCAGCAGACGAGGAAGAAATCATCATAGCTGACCTTTCAAAGTTGTACACAGAGACAGTAGACAACTCATTGAAATCACAAATTCTCTCTGTTCTATCAAAAAGATTAACTAAGGCTGAACTTGTAGATACAATACCTGGAATCACCATGTACAGAATTGACCAGGCTCGTCAACAGTATAATGCTAACTCAGTTAAAGGTCTCCATGTTAAGGAAAAGGTGAAAGTGCCCCGCAGAAGGATGGATGATGGTAAACTCCAGCATGCTCTCAGTTTTTTCTTTGATCCATCCTTTATGCAGCTGGTGTCATATGGAACAAGGGATCTGAAGTTAGACTCTGGAGAATCTATAACCATTCCAGAAGTTGTCAGAACGGCTAATCATTCAAAAATGATAGAACTTTACATGTCTTATTGCAAAGAAACAGATTTCCAACCTCTTGTGAAAGCAACACTTTTCAAAATCCTGAACGTTTGTTCAGCTACTAAAAGGACGAACTTACATGGGCTGGACAATATTGCAGCTGAAGGAGTTGAAGGCTTTGATACTCTTAAACAAATAACAAGTCAGCTACTTCAGAAAAATCATCTAACTACAGAAGAACATGAACAATTGCAAAAAACTATGACATCAGCAAAACTCTATCTAAAAACTGATTACAAATTGCATCTGGAAAGAGAATCACATTGTGCTGATCACTGTCTTCAGTGGCTTCTGAGTGATCCAATGAATGCCAGTTTCCAAAACCCCTGCAATCATATCCATTCTTTGAAATGTGACAGGTGCCAACTCCTCCAAATTATTAAAAGTAATTTGTCTAAAGGTATTAACCAGATTGAAGATGACGATGTAAAAGAAGAAACACAAAAATCTTTTGATGACACAATGCAGAAGATATATGATTGGAAATCTCATATTATCAGAAATGTAAATCAGGAGGAGTTTAGAACGAATAAATTAGAAAATCTAAAGAGATTTGAAGGAATTATTATTATGGATTGGGCAATGAAATTCTTACCCATGAGATACCGGGAGAAACAGACTGATTGGTTCGGGCAGAGGGGAAAGCATTGGCACGTCAGTGTTTGTATATACAGAGATGAAAATGGAGAAATTGGAGTGAGTTTATTTTTGATTGTTTTAAGGTTAACAAATTCAATACTTTGAATACAATACACATGTCATTATATATTAAGGAAGAAAACAAATTTATCTCATGAGCATGGTGTTATGAAAAGCAATTGCTCTACAGTCATATTCATTAATATTCACAATATTTCTAAACTGACTGCTTGTTTCACATTTTATAAACACTTGATGTATTTCATATAGAATATGACATCATCATCAAAAGTATAGTATTTTTGTGTGTGACAAAAAGTTAAGCAAAAAGAAATTATTTTTTTTGTTTTTATATGTTTTATTCATTTAATAGCATTATTAAATTATGAATTTCAAAATTAAAAAAAAAACAATATTGTAATGGTCACATATCATATTACTTACTTATTCTATTTCAGCATAGAACTTTTACACATGTCATAGAGAATGTGAAACAAGACTGGTATGCAGTTGCATCACTATTGGAAAACATCCTTCAAACCATGAAAATTCAAATTCCACATGTAACTGATGTATATTTGCGTTCAGATAATGCGGGTTGCTACCACTGTGGTCATCTCTGGATTGCAATTCCTCAGATTAGTCAAAGAACTGGTAAATATTCTGAATTCTAGTAATTTCTTAGAAGACATTTGAAATCCATGCATGAAAGTTAGCTTATATAAGAAAAAATAAGTTAACATACTACAGTTGATGAAGATTGACTGTTTAGGATTTTCTTAGAAAATTTTTCCCTCAGATAGAGACAGTCTTGCCCGTGGAGAATTGCAAATTTAGACTTATGCTCGACACTCAGGGCCATTGGACAGTGAGGGATCTTTGTGTGCCAGCACCTACTGTGACATGGGGCCTTGATCTTTTCCAAAGGACAGGTCTCCAGTCCTGTAGTGGGATTCGAACCCGAGACTTAAGGATCAACTCCTTAATCTAGCGCAAATGCTCTAACCACTGCATCACGCGGGTGATGTTTTTGTATGTCAACAGTATTCAAGACATCTTTTGATTGTTACAAAATAATAGATCAATAAAGTGAAACACCAATATTATTGTAAATATATTAAATGCAACTAACTGCATTTTCCAGTAATGTTCAAATCTTTTTTATACAGGCCTCCATATTAAACAATATTCATACTCTGAAGCCCAAGCAGGAAAGTCATATTGTGACTCAAAGATCGCACATATGCGAACCAAAATGCGATCCTATGTGGCTAACGGCAATGATATTTTAAGTGCAGCAGACATGAAAACAGCAATAGATCATGGAGCAGGTAAAGAGTTTTAATCACCAAGTTCTCAACAAAAGTAAAGAAATATGTATATTAAACAGCCAAACCTTGTTAAATCCAACTCAGTAGAAGGATGCTTCCCTAGTTGTGTGACTAATCATGGCTCTAGAAGATTTTAAAACATTTTTTCATATGTGTTTCTTCATTTGAACAAATCTGAATCTACACTGTACCTTTATTAAATGTGGTTTTCCTGAACTTGAGAAGAATTTTAAAGATTTTTGTTAAGTATTCCAAATTAAACTTTGATTGCCCTTTGTGGCTCTATGCTACCCCCAGAGGTCATGATTTAAGCAAATTTAAATCTATTGGTATATGTCAGTAAAAGCTTTCACCCAAGATTCATCTTCTCTGGTCCACTGTTTCTTGAGAAGAGATTTTTTAAGTAAGCAGACACACCTGAATCCAATTTACTTAAGAATACATGTTTTTCCTGTCTTTTCCTTTGCAGGAGTTGCTGGGTGTCAAGTGGCACATGTTTCAATAGATGCCAGTAAACATGTGATTAAGACACATTCCTTAAAAAATGTCAGCACCTACAATGATGTTAAATTTACAGATTCAAACGTTGAATTTCGAAAGGCCTACCAAGTAGGGAAAGGACTGCTGCTTTCTTATGACGATCTGGCAAAAGCAGCAGCTACAGTTCAGACAGAGACTGGATGTGTTATTCAAGCTGACTTTGTCATACCTGTTAAAGTTAGAGGTTGTATTTCCCTATCAAAAGCCAAAAAAAGTTTACAACCTGAAACTATCCCAGGAGATACACTTTTCTCTGAAGAGTCTTTTACTGAACATACTGCTGAAATTGATTCTTCATTATTTAACTGTCCAGAACCAGGATGCATTAAAGTATGTAGTTCCTATAAGTCCTTAGAAAGTCATGTATTAGTTGGTATTCATGAATTCAAACTGGAAAGAGAATCTGTATATGACAGTATCAGGAAACAGTGGGCAGAATTGTGCAACAATGTTGTTATTACAAAGAAGAATGTGGTTGACATTGCTTGTACTTCAGAAACTGTAGAAACTCTTTCAATGGGTTGGGCTTTGAAAAGAGTCAGGAAAGTAAAAAGGTTTCCAACTAAGATAAGAAATTTTTTAACAGAAAAATTCCTGGAAGGTGAGAAAAGTGGGAAAAAATGTAATCCAAATGAAGTGGCAACTGAAATGAAAGCTTTGAGGGACACAGACAGCAGGAGAGTTTTTCAGATTAATGAATGTCTTAACAGCAACCAGATTGCTTCATATTTTTCCCGTTTAGGGTCTACAAGTTCTAAAAAAAACAAAGAGATTGACCTAGAAGATGATGATTTGCTTACCAGTGCTGCCGAACTAGATCATAATGAATTGCTGATATCTGTTATCACCAGTGATGTTTAGCTGGACAAAGTGAATATGCTTGTATAGTTTACTGACAGTATTAGCTGGTGAAATGTTAAATACAATGCCTGCAAATTTGCATTAAATAATTGGTGCATCTATATAGATACATGCTAACAAACATTCTTTGGATGCTGCATCTATTACTGGTAAATTAAAAAGAAAATTCCAGATTACTGAATATGTATTTAATAAGAAAATTCATTATGTATATGTGCAGAAATGATGAATTATCTCCCCTGTTTTATCCATATTGAAGATAAAACTATTTGATTGATTAATAGAATTGTTTTTTAATACTACTCAGACAGTATGTGTGATTAAGCTCATTCAAGCATTCATCTGTTGATAAATTACATTATCTACATTAATTTCAAAAGAACAGAATGAGTGAGAGAATTACATTGAGATAGTTTATTGTGAAATTATGACTAACCTCTCCTTTAAAAAACTATTTTATTTGAATTTGGATTTTTTTTTCTATATTTCTAAAAAGTAAGAAATTGTATTTTGGAAATGTAAAGAAAATGTTTTAAAACTTCAGTTTATTTTTTTTTTTACATGTATATAGATCATAAACTGGACTGTGACATAACAAGAGGCCCAAGGGCCTTAACGGTCACCTGAGTATAATACAACAATTTGGAGGATCCATAGAGTATAAAATGAACTGAAAGGTGAAGCTTTGTTGCCCAAAAGCAAGAAAAATACTAGGGTGATCAGGATCAACAAAATAATTAATCTAGTATTCATTGATAGTTTATGAATTAGGTTCTAATCTGTTCCCCATTTATCACTATCACTATACAGTGTATTAAAATCTATCAGTGCTTCTGTACTATTTTAATTTCTTGTTGAAACCTCTTACATAGGCCTCTCTTGGTCTTTGATGAACATTTAATAAGACAAGTTATTTTTGTTCCATTTTTATTTATTTATTACTTATAAGTCTATCTGATCCTTAAAAGTATGAAAATACTTTTTGTATTATACAATAAAAATTCTTGCTTAATTCTCTTATTCTATTAACCTTTCAAGTACATTGTTTACAGTGATTAATTATCAAAAGTAAATGGCAAAGGGGAATAACTCCTCTCAGTAGAATACAAATTAATAGAGCTCTGGCCAGGACCAGAACACTTGAACAAATGATCCAGATGTTCAAAAATCTGGTAAAAATACCCTTCCTTATTAAAACTTTTAATCTTTTTGCCTCTGATATGCCCAAGTGCAGAGAAAATTTTTAAAGAAATAATGCATTTTTACTTCAGATTCACTATATTATCAATAGAGCCCCCCCCCCCCCTCTCCACCAAGAAACACTAGAGTCTCTCACCCTGGGACCAGAAGTTTGCTCATCATAAGTAATCACTTTGTTTATCTGCTTAACACTAAGGAGCAGACAGGATTATTTAATAGAATTAATGCATTTTCACTATATTATCAAGAGCCCCACCCTTACACCAGCACATCTGACCTGGGTCATGCAATTCACTACTCTGGAAGAAGCACTCTTGCTCATCATAACTATATACTTAGCTTCTTTGCTTTTTAACCAGAAGCAGAAAAGAATATTTTCAAAGAAATTGTGCTTTTTCACTATATAATCAATAGAGCCCCCCCCCCCCCAAAAAACCTTTTCACTAGAACCCTTGACCCTGGGGCCATGAAATTCACAATTTTGGAAGAGGCATCCTTGTGTATCATAACAATGTATTTAGTTTGTTTAAATAGTACCCAGGGGCAGAGAAGAAGATTTTCAAAGAAAACATTCACCTTCACTATAGGATCTATAATAGCCCCACCCTAGAACCAGAACCCCTGTCCCTGGGGCCATGAATTTCACAATTTTGGAAGAGGCATCATTGCTTATCATAACAATGTACTTAGTTTGTTTCAAAAATACCCAGGAGCAGAGAAGAAGATTTTTAAAGCATTAATGCATTTTCACTATATAATAAATAGAGCCCGGGCCCTAACATCAGAACCCCTGATCCAAGGGTCATGAAAATCACTATTTTGGAAGATTCACCCTTCCTAATATCATAACTATGTATTTAATTAGTTTCAATTATACCCAGGAGAAGAGAAGAAGATTTTCAAAGAAATAATGCACTTTCAGTATATGATCTATATAGCCCCACCCTAGCACCAGAACCCCTAACCCTGGGGCCATGAATTTCACAATTTTGGTAGAGTCCCCTTGCTTATCATAACTATGTATTTAATTTGTTTCAATAATACCCAGGAGTAGAGAAGAAGATTTTCAAAGAAATAATGCACTTTCACTATATGATCTATATAGCCCCGCCCTAGCACCAGAACCCCTGACCCTGGGGCCATGAATTTCACAATTTTGGTAGAGTCACCCTTGCTTATCATAACTATGTATTCAATTTGATTCAATAATACCCAGGAGTAGAGAAGAAGATTTTCAAAGAAATAATGCACTTTCACTATATGATCTATATAGCCCCCCCCCCCCCCCCCCCCCCGCACCAGAAACCTTTACCCTGGGGCCATGAATTTCACAATTTCGGTAGAGTCACTCTTGCTTAACATAATTATGTATTTAATTTGTTTAAATAATGCCAAGGAGTAGAGAAGAAGATTTTCAAAGAAATAATGCACTTTCACTATATGATCTATATAGACCCCCCCCCTCCCCACCTAGCAACAGAACCCCTGACCCTGGGGCCATGAATTTCACAATTTTGGTAGAGTCACCCTTGCTTATCATAACTATGTATTTAATTTGTTTCAATAATACCCAGGAGTAGAGAACAAGATTTTCAAAGAAATAATGCATGTTCACTATATGATCTATATAACCCCACCCTAGCACCAGAACCCCTAACCCTGGGGCCATGAATTTCACAATTTTGGTAGAGTCACCCTTGCTTATCATAACTATGTATTCAATTTGTTCCAATAATACCCAGGAGTAGAGAAGAAGATTTTCAAAGAAATAATGCACTTTCACTATATGATCTATATAGCACCCCCCCCCTCCCCCTAGCACCAGAACCCCTGACCCTGGGGCTATGAATTTCACAATTTTGGTAGAGTCACTCTTGCTTAACATAACTATGTATTTAATTTGTTTCAATAATACCCAGGAGTAGAGAAGAAGATTTTCAAAGAAATAATGCACTTTCACTATATGATCTATATAACCCCACCCTAGCACCAGAACCCCTGACCCTGGGGCCATGAATTTCACAATTTTGGTAGAGGGCTCAATGCTTATTACAATCATGCAAACAGTTTGACTGCTTGATGTCCAGGAGTAAAGAAGAAGATTTTTAAAGATTGCATTAATTTTGGTGGTTTTAGCCCCACCCCTCAGGCCCCAGGGGGCCAGGGACCATAATATTCACAAATTTTGTTCCCCTTCACACATAGATGCCATATGCTAAAATTGGTTGAAATTGGTTCAGCGGTTTCAGAGAAAAAGCTGAAAATGTTCAAATGTTAACACACGACGCACGACGCACGACGGACGACGACGGACGAAAACAGATAGCAATAGGTCACCTGAGTGACTCAGGTGACCTAAAAAGTGAAAATGCTATTTTTTTGTGTGAAACCCATCAAATGTTTTAGGAGATTAATAATTAATTGCACAAAAATGTTTTTATTATTTTATTTGCTAATGGGTATGATGTCTATGAAAATAGCATTACCTTTTAGTTTGGCTGTAGGGTTTTTAAATTTTTTCATAGCTGAAAATACCCCAAAAATGTGATATTTTACTGTTTTTGGAAATATGGATTATCTCCCCTTTTTCACTTAAACTTTGGAATATCTTACTAGACCTGGAAATATTTTGACTGATCATAAAAAGTAAGAAATTGTATTGCATTTTATTTTGGAAATATAAAGAAACTGTTTTAAAACTTCAATTTATTGTTTTTAAATGTATAAATATACAGCATAAACTGGACTGTGACAAAAAAGTGAAAATGCTATTTTTTGTGAATAACCAATCAAATGTTTTAGGAAATTAAGAATAATTTGCACAAAAATGTTTTTATTATTTTATTTGAAATTGGGTATAATCTCTATAAAAATAGCATTGCCTTTTAGTTTGGCTGTGGGGTTTTTAAATTTTTTGATAGTTGAAAATACCCCAGAATGTGATATTTTACTATTTTTGGAAATACGGATTATCTCCCCTTTTCAGCTAAACATTAGAACATTTTACTGGACATTGAAATATTTTGATTGATTCTGAAAAGTAACTAGCTGAGTTGTATTTCATTGAGAAATAAACATAACTGTGATTTGTTTTCTGATTTTCTTTTTATTTCATCATAAATATTGATGTTTTTGCCTTTTTAAAGAGGAAATTTCAGCCATATTTGACCAAAAACAGTTTTACTGTTGCCATGGAAACCAGACACTGAATTGATGAAAATTTATTTTATTTTTTAAAGTGTCTTGGCATACTCTACCAACATGCAAAGTCTGAAAAAAATCTGAAACCCCTCATGTGTCAGCCCCTGCATGATTTTTACGTGGAGTCGTACTTAATATCCCCCAGTTGAACAAATATGAAAAGGAAGAAGAATGTGTAACAAATTAATTGATGTATGCAGATTCCATGTTTCCTTATGCTTTAGATAAATAATCAGGACAAGTTTAAGCGAGGTGAGGCAGACAACGAGAAAAGAGTTGCAAGCCTTCTCTCTTTATATGTATCGGTCTAAAACAATATATTTAAAAACATTTTATAGAGACAAAAGGGTAACATTATCGATAAAATATAATGCATATTATAGAATACAAAAATAGAAAAAAAGGTGACTCGGCTCCAGATTTAAGAAGAAAAAAATGGAAAGGGGGGCATACCCAAGTGCCTGTGTAAATAATGGCATCCCATTCGACTACGACACCAAAAGCACAATTCTTTGAACTTGCTTGTTTTAACTTGTATTGTAAACGTACATGTATAAGTACACGTTTGTTAACGAAGCCTCTCTAATCTAAAACGTGAAACCTAAACTCTCCAGTTTCTCCACCAGACATACACGATGGAAAACCACCGATGTTCTTTCTCTCGCAAATGAACCCAGGCGTTTGCCCATCGTGGATTTCTGATAGAGTTTTTTATTTGAAGAATAAGTCCGCTATTACGCCCAGCTATTCTGATAAGTCTTCTAACGCTTATTTGACAGGGGACACTTTGGATTATGTCGGGTGAGATATAAATCTCTGGCAAAGGAATTGCTTTGATAATATTGCAAAATAATCTGCAAACCCGCATTAGATAATACCTTGTACTCGGATCTTCATTTGTTAAATATTG